CCGTTCAGTACACAATTAAGCTCTAACCACTACCGAGTCCAGTCCTCCCAGTCCAGGACCATAACCTGCTGCGGTCAAGGCTGAACCAAACGGCCAATTGACCAGGTCACATTAGAACTCATTTCTTTTTACACTAATAATTTAGTATTTGGCCAATTGGAAGCCTCCGGGCAGCCTGCACTTGGGCACATCAGTCTGTAGCGTGGATTATCGCCTCCACTGCTGGCCAGGAGACGTCATCCCCTACCCAGAAGGGACGGGTTATCCTACCAGCGAGCGCTGGACTGTCCTGGGAGCACATTTATAGCTTCCCAGCAGCTCATTTCATACTGCCGGGGAGGGGGGGAGAAGCTGGGGAAAGGCTGCGTGCCAGCTGCCTGAGCAGCTAATACTTAATGTCAAGGGTAGAGATGGTTCCACACCCGTGTTAGGCACAAGTAAGCAGCTCCTTTCCCGTTTATCCAGCCTCCTCTATTGAGGATATTCCGTGCCAGGCCATGGAAGCTTCACCCCAAGTCCTGGAGCAGGACTGCTGTCCTCCTCCCCACGAAAACCCCAACATGGCCCAGGCTGGCACAGGGCAGCGCAGCACCGGGACAGCGGTTTCGATCCCAGGGCTCCGAGAGGGGGTTTTGGACCCCCATCTGTTCGGATCGACAACCGACAGCCGCGATTCTGAGAGGCAAGAGGCGGGGTGGGGAGCGAGGAAGGAAGGGGAAGGTACCGTACCTCCCCCTCGGACTTGACGCCAACCACTTTGCCGTTTTCTATCACAATCTCTTCGATGGGCTTGTTCAGCATGTAGGTGCCTCCGTATATAGCGCTTAGCCTGCGAGAGCAAACCCACGTGAGCGCGTTCGGTTCTTAAGGGCCCTTCCAGCCCCTTCTTTCTGTCCCACTCGCTCAAACCACGCCTTCAACTTCCTCACAACACGCTGCTTAAACATCCAGAGGCAGCAGAGCCCATTTGCTGTGCCTTCTGCAAGGCACCAGCTGGTATCTGGGGGGAGTTACAGGTGAGATTACATCCAGCTAGAAACAACCTGCTTGGTGCAACCCACACCGTGCGGCGGCGTGAACGCCACAGGCTACGCCAGGTAGGCGAACCCGCCCTCTTGGACAGACCACCTACTGCAAACAGCACCTCTGAGCAAACCCAGCGCTGCCACCGCTGACGGAACTGCAGCGAACAAGCCCAGAAAGCAGCTCATCCCACAGGGAGGAATTGCTTCTTGATGAAGAGGGCGAGAGCCGTTAACGACCGCGGGGTTTTTAAGGCCGCGGCGGCGCGTTCCGGAAGCTTGGGCACTCCACACGCCCGATCCCCCAGCGGGTACCAGGGCAGGGCTGAGGAAACGCTGGAGTAGAAAACCACGTTCTCACCTTGCAAATCCCTGGGGCAGCTCTCCAAGGCCGTAGAGGGGATAAAGGTACGGGCTTTTCCCGTACCGAGCCAGCGACTCGCTGTAGAGCTTAATCCTGTTGATTGTTTCCTGGCACGGTTGATCTAGATAGCTGGGGAGGGCAGTTACAGGATTTGCAACATTTCACAAACCCAGACTTTACAGCAGAATACACTCGGGGAGCTGAGCATTTACTTCCCGTGAAGTTTCCTTCCCCACCCTCCTGGCAAGGATTTCCCTGGAAGTTCCCCATTAGAAGCACTTGGCATCAACAAGGAGGTTTAGTCAGGAACCCCAGGAACCCACAAAGCTTAAATATCCCAACTTCATTAACCCCAGGAACCCACAAAGCTTAAATATCCCAGCAGCAGAGTCCAGTATTTTAAGATCCAGGCAGCCCTGTGGGATGGACAGGCTCTGGGAGACATCCCACCCCCAATCCGCGAGACCTGCACCGCATCCCGGCGGATTCGGGGGAGCCCCGGAAGGGGCACTTACTCGTCGGTCCTGTAGAGCGCGAGGGCGTGGCCCGTGAAGTCTATAACGTCCTGCCCCAGGTCAAACTTCTTATACACGTCGCGCATGGTGGTCTTCTTGGGGTCGACGCCTTCGAAAGTTCGGGGGTCGTTCTCATCAAAGTTGGCAACGTACACGAGGAATTTCCTGAACCGGCGTTTCTCAAACAAGCCCATTAAGCCTAAAATCCAAAGTGTTTTGTCAGAGCTCACGCAACGACTAAATGGCTTTTCCATGGCCAGAGTATCAGGAGGAGGCAAGAACCCGTGTTTCAAACATAATCGCAGAACGGTTGGGGTGGGAAGGGACCTTAAAGCCCCCCCGCTCCCCCCCAACCCTGCCATGGGCAGGGACACCTTGCGCTAGAGCAGGTTGCTCAGTAACTGCTCCGTAACGCGGGGTTTGGCCCCGCAAGGCTCTGTTCCAGCAGGAGACACCAACCCCTACCATGCCATCCACACAGGCCTCCTGGACATCAGGAGGGGGCCCAGCCAACCACCTTCCACGGCGTGGCTGGAAAAGCACCACTCCGGGCTGCAGGGAAGCCTGGAGAGCAGGTTCCGCTCGGCCCAGTGTAACGCCTGACCCGCGCCTGCCTAAGCGGAAATCAGTTTGGCGCCTCCCAGCCCTGCCATCACAGCAAGCGGCGCTGGGCTCTCCCCCGGCCTCGCCAAGGGGCAAGCGAGCGCTGGGAGGGTCAGAACTCCAAACACGAGATCGGACCAGGCACCCTCTATCTACTTTAATTTTCTACCCGTTGGAGAAGCGAGAGTGGCCTCGCTGGAACGTGCAGGCAGAGACGGCACCACGGGCAACCCGCTACTCCTGCCAGTACGAGTGTCTGAGAGACTGCTCAGGAGAGCAGTGCAGCCCAACTGCAGGAAGGACAGACAGCTCACAACAACCAGGAGTATCTGCCGCGAGGAAGGCTCCGACGTACAGCTGCGATACGCACCAGGAGCCACTTCATCACCAGACACCTGGAACGTGCAGGCAGAGACGGCACCACGGGCAACCCGCTACTCCTGCCAGTACGAGTGTCTGAGAGACTGCTCAGGAGAGCAGTGCAGCCCAACTGCAGGAAGGACAGACAGCTCACAACAACCAGGAGTATCTGCCGCGAGGAAGGCTCCGACGTACAGCTGCGATACGCACCAGGAGCCACTTCATCACCAGACACCTGCTACTACCTATCACTACACTGCTATGAATGACAGGGAGTTTTATCTGGAGAATGAGATTTAAGTGGACAACCGTCCGGATCGGAGCTTGGGGCCACACGCTGGCATCGGTCATTCCCACCTGCCCGCTGACAAATGCAATGTAACTTTTCCACACAATTCCATCCAACAAGGAGCCAAGGCTAAATATTTATGGTAGAGCCAGAAGCATATGCTCCAGATGTAACGTCCCGAGGGAGTAAAACACCCTCAAATTCTCCCCAGATGGGCCACGGAACAGGCAGCTTGGCCGGCTGCATTGGAAAGCTCCAAGGAAATGGTAACTCAAGGCTTGGGAAGCCCAGCACTCCCTGAGGTGCTGGAATTGAGATGCAGAGATTCCTCTGCTGAGCACAGCTCGTTACTGAGATTTTACACAGGAATACCGAGATTTCTTTTCCATGGAACACAGAACATCCTGGGATGCAGGTGGCAGAGATCCGTTCTGCCCTTCTTTAGGGACGGCAGCCTCGGGAGGAAACAAAGCGAGGTGCAACTACTCACTGGACGCCAAGGCTTCTGCCTCAGTGGAAGGAACTTTGTAGATCTTTCCTCCCTTGTAGACGAAGCTCCCCTCGATCACCTTGAAGTCTAAGTAGCGAGTGACTTCTGTGTAGAGCAGCATCTTTACCAACTGACCTGGAAAGGAGGTTTGGCACAAGTCAGCTGGCTGGTCTGTAGCCAGAAGGCACGGGGAGGGCAGCGCTTCGCACGGCAGATGGTTCTTCCAACAGCAGCACCACGTTCAACCCACACAGCTCTTACACCTTTGTGTAACACATGGGGTGTGGCAGATACTCACTAATGCAATTATTAGGCAGTTCTAAGGCTTTCTTACAGGCAATTAACAGCTTCCTTGTCGCTCCCGCGGTTTCCATCAGAGTAAAAGCCATCCTGCAGCACGTTAATCTGCTGCAGAACACTGCTGCGCTTTACTCCGTGTAGTTGATTCGCACTCAAGGTGATGTCGCTCCTGCGGTTTCCATCAGTCCTCTGAGTAAAAGCCATCCTGCAGCACGTTAATCTGCTGCAGAACACTGCTGCGCTTTACTCCGTGTAGTTGATTCGCACTCAAGGTGACAAACAAGGTCACGTTTCTGAACCGCAAGTAGCTCATCCTCATCTAGCACAGCCTGCATTTTAATTGTCTAGCCCCTGGCTTGCAAGCAGCTCGTCTCAACATACACCCACTTACCTGCCGCCACCCCCTCTCACACCCCCAGAGAGATGCTGTCCCTTTGGAAGGCACCCCACTGGGATTCCTGTGCAAGCTGAGAGTGAGCTGAGGCTGGAGTAACCAAACCTTGACTGGAATCAAATCAAGTCTGCACTAGCCCTGAGCAAGACTGGCACCACACAACACACAGAATCATGGAATGGTTTGGGTTGAAGGGACCTTAAAGCCCCCCCAGCCCCACCCCCTGCCATGGGCAGGGACACCTTCCACTTGACCAGGTTGCTCCAAGCCTCATCCAGCCTGGCCTTGGCTGGCCATCTACCCCCTCCTTGTGCTTCAGGGACAAGAGTGAGTAGCGAGTGGTTGGTATTTGGCAGGGGGAGTTGGCCCTGAGCTTGTCTGCACTGGTAACTACTTCACCCACGGGGAATTTGGTTCAGGAGACTTGTCCCAGTACTGGAACACACAGATTAAACAACTAGGATTTGTAGCATCAGAAAGGGATGATGGAGTCTGCAAACCATAAAATGGGAACAAAGGGGATTACCAGTCACCATGGCATCAACTGTTTCTTCCTGAGCCGCGGAAGAACAACAACGTGCAAATTCACAGCAGTAACTCTGGCTAGAAATGCAAACCCTGTAAGGGAGGATGATGCAGGAAAACGGACATTCAAACCTCCCAGACATGCCACTGCTGCACGCTCCGAGCCGGAAAGGCCCACAGCCAGAAGCTGTCGTGCTCCTGGTATACGCACAGGCGGAGCCACTCAAGCGGGTTTTCCCCGGCCCTTCGGTTCACGCTTCCACCCGCTCGCAGAGACGCTGCAGGGCTGCTGATTCGACCCCAGCACTGACCCAGGCTAAGCTTACGAGGCAGATTGAGGAGCTCAGTACCGCTTACCATTAGCCATAAGGAATTTTGGAATTAGGTCCACGTTCCAGTCTCTTCCTCGCCCCATAGATTCTGGTGGAGTTCCTGGCAGATTAAACCTTTTGTAGAGCTTGGGAGAGAATACAAAAACTTGTTATAGCAGAGGAAATATCCACGGGTATAATTTCTCCCACACATGTACACACTCTCCACCCCCACATCTCCCCAGCTGAACATAAGCTCTTCACAGCAAGCTCTTGGCCAGCGTTTCAGCTCCAGTCGGATTTTTGATGCAGTACACAATGCACATCCAGTAAAGTCTTACAGTAAGGATCAGGCAACACGATTCTGCTCATCCAGGCTTCCTTCCTCCAAGGCTTAAAGCTTGGGAATTTATGACCTGCTAGCTAAAGGTAATCTGAGCAAAATGCCAACTTCAGGAGAGGGCAGGCTCCTCCGTCCACTTAAATATTTATATTGGAGAATCTCATTTAACCCAATTAAGGAGAGCAGTGAGTTCCTGCCATCTGATTCATCAGCCACGCTAACAACTGCAGGGCCTACACCAGACAAGGTGGCACCCACCTATCCAAGCGCTCACGTAACAGCAAGGCACGGACAGCACGCGGCATTTCTTAGGCCGGTATCTGCCGGCAAGCGCAACAACCGAGCCAGAGTTCAAGCTGTTGGGCATTTCACCTCCCAACGATGGCTCTAATGCTGCGTGCTTGAATCTGGGCTGGGAGCTACGGAAAACAGGCGCCATCTACCAAGTGTAAGCATACACGCTGGTTTCTCACCCGCTATTATCCGGTGTGGAAGTGCCATAAAACATTCTTACTCAAATTAAACCCTTAGGAGTAATTACTTTGAATCCACCCCTCGGATAGCTTGAAATAAAGCCCCCTTTATGTGCCCGGGGAGGACACAATAGGGGGGTGGCAGCCTCTGTACTCACATCCTCCAGGGGTGTAATGGATGCGCTTTCCCCTCCGTAGTAGGAGTTACGATCCATGTGAAGGACTTTCTTTCCATTCACCGACATGATCCCGGAGAGGATGCATTCCTACAGAGAGAGGGAAGGATGCAAGGGATACGTTAGTTGCATTTGAGCCTCTTTCCATTCTCCCTAGCGATGCTCTCTCGGAGAGCACGTTCAGACAGCCTGCCGCAGGCCTGGATCTGAAGGGACATGCACAGCCCTTGGAAACCAAACACACCAGTTGCCTCACTCCAGAATTAAGACATGGGTGCTGAAAGATTTTTATTTGAGATGGATTAACCCCGTCCTAGGTTTGCTGTCTGCTCTGGGCAAGCCAACCCAGAGGTTTTAACTACACAACCATCACCTATCAGGGTTCCCCTGAGGAGATTTCTGGGAAGTTCATGTATTTTGGCCAGATTAGGAAAACCTATATTCCTAAAGCACCAGATACCGCAGTAAGGATGTTCAGAGAGGCAGCAGCTTCATTTATGGGTGACACCAGGTGTATAAAAACTTGTCTTAAAGGGTACTTTAAATTGAAAGAGGGTAGATTGATATGGGACATCAGGAAGGAATTCTTCCCGGAGACAGTGGGAGCACTGGGACAGGTTCCCAGAGAAGCTGTGGATGCCCCATCCCTGGGAGTGTCCAAGGCCAGGCTGGATGAGGCTTGGAGCAACCTGGTCTAGTGGAAGGTGTCCCTGCCCATGGCAGGGAGTGGCACTGGGGGGCCTTTAAGGTCCCTTCCCACCCAAACCATTCCTTGATTCTGTGACTCCAGGTAAGTCTCCTCAAACCCTCAACCTCTGATATTTGCCACACTGGGACACACCAGCGAGTCAACAGTTACTCTGAGAGGACAGAGGTAGCATAAACGAAGCCATTTGGGAGCTTTCCCATCTCAGCCGACACCGTGCTATCCTCACCATCAAGATTAAAAACACCAAGATTACTTCAGGCAGCAGATCAGCTGCTACGTCTGAATCCAACACCAAGAGGCTGAGACTAACCGCAGAGGGACACAAGTTGTAGCTCGCAGAACCAGGACTTGCACGGCTAAATCCCCAATAAAACCCCACTTTGCAACTAACCCGGTCACCGGCTCTGGCATTCATCAGCCAAAGAGCTTAAAAACTTGAATACTTGCATGCTTAGGACTGCTTATCGTGGAGGTTGTGCTGATCCTTCCTGCTCTGTCTCAACTCCCTCCAAGGGAGGAATTACACCTGCAACTGAGCTCTCATTCACCATCAACACTACCTCACGTTCTCTTCCGTTCAACCCGTAAACCCCCACATCCAGCTGCTGAGAGACGCCAACGGGGCGCATCGGCTCACCCAGGAGCGGAGGAGCTGTTCATTCAAAAGAACCAGCAGCTTGGCCCTCTGGGCAGAGATCCACATCTCCAGGAGTATTTACTCCACATGCACCTTGCCCTACGGAGCGCTGAGGACTCTCCTTGTGCGTGAGATCCTTGGTCTTTACTCCACATGCACCTTGCCCTTCGGAGCGCTGAGGACTCTCCTTGTGTGACGCTTCCCCCTGCTCCCGGCTGACGTCAAGCTCTGTTATGGCAAGGCCAATACAGGTATCAGTGCACCAGCCACACCAGAGTCTCTCCCACAGTGTATTGTTTATCTGACTTCCAAATCCTAACTCCAGTAAATCCTCAGAGCAAAGGAAGCTTTTAAAACCACCTTCCGCTCCACCAGCCAAAGACCAGGCCACGGTAAAGGCCGCTTGCAGGAGGGGTTGCTTTGTTCGGCTCAACATCCATAGGCTGTGGATGGTTGGCAGGGATCGCGGGAGTAAGGACGTGCTGTTCTTCCGCTTCCAGGTGGCAACGGGCAGATCTTTTCCCCCGGGAGAGCGAGGTGCCGCTAGCCAGCCTGTTACCCCTCAGGATGCCATGGTAATTCAGCCAAGGGCCCGAAGAGCAAAGCCCGTCTGCCTCGCGCACGGCAAGAATGGGCCGCTCCGAGTTTAATCCCTGAAGCTGTGGGTGATTTCAAGGCTTCCTGGTCATCACATGGATCAGGAACAGAATTAGCTGCAGTACTTCCCACAAAATCTCTCTGTGATCCATCAGCTGCTCCTCCCAGCACCATACAGACTCCAGATCCCTCATGTCTACAAGGCCCTTCCGCTTTCTCCAGACGGGCTGGAGCAGGCAGAGACCCTACCAGCAGGGACGGCTGCACCAAACCCTGTGTAAAGACACTGCTCGAGCGCCGGGAGCCCTACAAGGCCGAGGAACTGCACGTGTGAAAGGTCAGATGGATTTTATGGTGTCAGTTCCAATGTTAGCAGGCAACACGGGACGGCCACGCCAAGCACACCACCAGTAGCCAGCACGATGATCTCCGTTAAACCGAATACGGAAGGGCTCCGGTTCCACTCCTTGCTCTGCCCGGTGGTTTTATTCCCCCCGGAACATCTTCCAAAACCCTGGCTTGCCAGCTCTGCCAGATGGTGATACAGGACTGCCAATGTCCACGCTGGAGCTGAGCCATTAGGAAGCCAACCAGGATTTCAAAACAAGGTTAAGTATCAACTGGAGGGGATGAAGTTACAGTAAAAGCTGCAGCAGGTACATCCTCCAGTCCAGATGTCAGCTGATTTCCTTCCTTCATGTAAGGAAACTTCAAAGCACTTCTTGCTCTCTCTTCTGAGAACAGCTCCCCCACCACTTCCCAGTGAGCGTGTATCCTCCCAACAGGTCACCTGCCCAAACTGCCAGCATCCCCCTAGAGCGAACGTGGATTCCAGCAGAAGATATGAGCAGTCTTAACTACCTCCTCAATCTTATTTCACACCCATTAAACACCGATATGGGGATAGAGGTGGAGGTATTGCAACACTACTTTACCCAAGGCTCATTTAACGAGTTCGTTATATCACCCGGGGCTCCCGCCGAGCCCCGGCGCGTTGAAATCCTGCGCAGGCCTTTCGCCGACGCTTCCCTCTGCAGCCGATGAGGCAACGGCATGGTCGTAAAACACACGGGACGCACAATAGATTTATCCTCCCAGCTCAGCAATTCCTGTTGACGGCTGCGCCAGCTGAGCGCCGGCTGTACCCATCCAAGGGAGCGCTAGTCTGCGTCTAGGAACCGCTTGATAGGTCATCGTGTCGTTTGGGTCAGGGAGCAAGGAAAACAAACGGCCTGTGCCGATAAGGGAAGGGCTTGAAACAGTTCATACTGCAAATAAAACCAAGGGGAAGCGTCAGAGTTCAAATCTGTGGCTTCCCGACCGTATTATAAACATCAAGCCTGTGCAAACAGGTAAAACTGAGCTGCTGCTGAGAGCAGAAAGGGCACCAAGATGCAGCAGGAAAAGGCAGAGGTATCCAGCCGGGGTCAAACACAATCTCCGTGCGACCTACAGCCACGCTGTGCTACTATAATCCACCGCTTCAGCCAGTTCAGGTTACGACGGGCTCCCGAGAGCTCGCATCGTGCTCCCGGATGAATGACAGAGCAAGTCTCGCAGCGACCGATGGCGTCTGCAGCACCGCTCGTCCACTTGGAACGGCCGGAGAGCCCAGAACCAGCGAGCAACGCACGCCAGAAGCGTAGAGACAGCACGTTCGACACGAATCCATGAAAAAAACGCCAGGAGCAAGGGGTAACTCGGAGGCACTGGTGTCCCCACGCTTGCTTGAGACCGTCAGCTCTTCCCTCGCTTGCACAAACCGGTCACGAGTGGACTTTGTGCCGGCAGAAGCCTTCAGCAGTCGAGGGAAGCAAGTCGGTTTACATGGATTTTCTCCAAGTAGGGCGGCAGTTCAGAAAGACCGATGGAAACTCAAGCCAGCATCGGCCCACCTAACAGCGCCGAGGGGAGGATTCCACACAACACCTTTAGCAAAATCCCTGTATCTTCAAGGACAGAGCCCTTCTTAGAAAGACAGGGCCGGGATGCGGTGAGCAAGAAGCTACACGCAGCTCCTTACCAAGAGGCTACTCCACCTCTAACGTACGCTGGCTACGGCTACCGTGCCGGACTCCGGCAAGACTCAAAGCTCTGCTCAGCCATACAAACCGCTGCACTTGAGCAATCCCCTGTGCTGCCAGGGGATGATGCAAGGGACAGTGACGCTCCATTTCGGCCTCACAGTCACCTTGATGTTCTTTATTAGGATCTTTAGGCCACGAGGCCTGTGCCTATACCATTTAATACACCTCGAATCAAAGAGTTTGGCTACTTTGCTCCTGCAGAAAGTGAATCTGTATCTTTGCCACGGATTTACATAGCTTTAATGCGGTGAGGTAAGCAGCTTAGTTCAGCCCATCAGTGCCTGCAAGAAGTGAAAACCCCAGCAGGAACAAGGTGTTCATCTGCAGGGGCTAAACAGGACAGTTTAATTAGGCCCAACATTCATGTCCAATAACCCATGTCATTTGGGGCACAGAAAACAGATAACCAATGCCTGTCAGAGGGCACGACATCCTGCTCCCAAACATCCTGAACAGGCTGGGTGGAGAATGGAT